GAGCGTGTAAGATGTGCAAGCATCGACCCTCACAAGCATTTTTTGGGAAATGTGTTCCGTATTTTGGACCAGTTTATTACCTGAGGATCTTTCCAGATGTTGGCTGCTCCTGGCCCCAGTAGAACAGGTCGATCCCAAAAGGCACCAGAGGTGCTTTGGCTTTCTCTTCTTCACGTTGACTGTTGGCCTCCTTGGATGTCGTCGGTTCGCAATCCCTACAACGTGCGTGAAAAATGGTAAGTAAGCAGAAAACGTGCCTGTTCTAATGTTAAAGGCCATTTTGTTCCAGCTTGGACTCAAATTTGCACGATGCAACTTGTTGTTATAGGCAGCTCTAGGAAATCACCTGATTTATTGTGCATTCACAGCAAAACTCAAGTGTGTTTTGGATGCTTGGGGAGAGAGGCAGTCCAAACAAGATCCAAGAAGGGGACTACCTTTTACATCCTTCTTATCTTTAACAAATATAATTTTAATAATTGTTCATGCTTTCCATCTGTTAGGCTGTTGTTTACTCAACTAAAGAGGCAACTGGATTTCCTTGTTTTTCTTTGAAGACGTTTCGCTTCTCCTCCAAGAAGCTGTTTCTTCTTAGGTTGTTGTTTACTGCTTGACCTTTTGTCCAAGTTGCTGCCTTGTTGAGTTGAGGGTTCCAGGAAACAAACTTAATCCAGGAACCACCACCGCAAACACTCACAGGGAAAACCGTATGTATATAAACAGAGAGTAAACCAGTGGTCGGATTCAAATAACTGAACAACCGGTTGCCTGGGCCTCTGAGGCCTAGAGTGGACTTCCGGAAGTGGCATCCATGCACTTCCGGTGGGCCGTTCTAGGCCTCGGCGGTCTCCCCCAGGCCTCCAAGGCCTAGAACAGACATCCGGAAATGGCATCCACTTCTGGTGGGCCATTCTAGGCCTGGGAGATCTCCTCTAGTCCTCTGAGGCCTATAACAGACTTCCGGAAGTGGCATCCATGCACTTCCTGTGGGCCGTTCTAGGCCTCGGAGGCCTCCTCCAAGCCTCCAAGGCCTAGAACAGACGTCCGAAAATGGCATCCATGCACTTCTGATGGGCCATTCTAGGCCTGGGAGATCTCCTCTTGTCCTCCGAGGCCTATAACAGACATCCGGAAGTGGCATCCATGCACTTCCGGCGGGCCATTCTAGGCCTGGGAGGCCTCCGAGGCCTAGACTGGACTTCTGGAAGCAGTGTGCATTCAGCTGGTTCTCCGAACTCAGCAAACCTGTCGTATCCCTCCCCCTCCATTGAGAGAAGACTGTTCAATTTTGACCTAGGTGGCCTCTTGGACCCCTCTTGCACACTCAGGTGACCCCGAGGACACAGGTAAACCTCCAAGTGGCCTCAAAGACTCTCAGAGAGAGAGAGAGTGCAAATGACCGGCTGTCTGCAAGGAGTATAAATCCTTCCCTTCCCCACCATCCAGTCAGAGCCGAAGAAGCTTCTGGGATGAGAAGGGAAACGTCTTCAAAGGAAAACAAGAAAGTCTAGTTGCCTCCTGAAAAAGCACCTTTGGGATAAGATAAGCCTGGCGTAGTTTCGATTGGGCTTTGCTAGGGGTTTTATATGGGGTATTTTAGAGCAGGCCTTTTATTCAATATTTATTGTGATTTTTATTATTGCCTGTTCACCGCCCTGAGTCCCGTAAGGGAGATAGGGCGGTATATAAATTTAAATAATAAATAATAAATAAATAAATAAGATATCTGTCCAACATCTGGTACCTACTTGTCCTCTGCATTTGGCAGTCTGGGCAGTTTATCTCGGATAACTTTCCACGTGGCTGCAGCAGAGGTTGGATCCAGCTCTTCCTCCATTATCACAGAGTGGGATAAGAACGGAGACATCATCGGTACCGCTTGGTTCTTCCCAGTTCCTACCGCACTTTTTCTTGTGGGCAAGACAGGTTCCAGGCCTCAAAAGAATAAAGGCAGAGAGAATAGGGTGAGTAAAATTATTGCCAAGCGGTGCGTAAAATCTTCCTACATCATCCAGAAGGGAACACCTGGTTGACTTGGACAGCTAATTTTGTACACAGAATAAGGTTCTCGGGCAGCAGGATAGTCTACCAGTTCAAAATAAGACATTACTGATAGCAAATTGTTCAAAGAAAGCAAGAAGAATATAAATAAAGAATTTATTTATATAAATAAAAGGACAAGCAGAAAAAAAAGGTCTTTGAAAAGATAGATCAATCCACCAAACGAATCTTTCTAG